CTTTTTTACACGTCGTCTAGCAAACTGATTGTACCAACTTCACAAAAAAAAAAAAAAAAAATTGAAAAAAAAGAAAAAAAGAACTGGTCGTTTGGTTCAATTTGAAAAAAGTTATTCGCCGTACGTTTGACAATCGGTTGCTGCAGCAAATTTCTCTTTAATTATTCGTTAATACGACAAATCTCAGCGCGTTATTCCACGCGAAACTCGAGAAATTGCGACGAAACCTTGTCCTTGTTTCAATTAAAACTCATGTCGAGCATGATCTCATGGGAAAAAAGCGCACGATTCTCGTTACGTTATTTTCTTCGTTGGACGCGACACCTCCGTCTCGCGATGTGCAAAATACGTAATTCGATTAGCAGGAACGAAACGTTCGACGGGATAACAAAATCAGTGGTTTGGTACCGGGAAAAAGGACGAGCAGGTTTAATTGCTATCCGAATGAATTTCTGTCTCGTTATGTACGATATACAGTGGAAACAAATAAAAGAGCCATACGAATAAAAAAGAAGAAAGAAGAAAATAGCAGTCGAAACCTTCAAATCGTCGACCGATGTAATTATCGGCTATTGCAGTGCCGCAGGGTTAATTTGCATTTCGATGAAATTACATCTCGCCGAAATAATCTCGCTTTCGTCGATATTATGGCCCTCGTGAAGCCTGACCGGGTATTATTGTTATAACGTGCGCGTTTCCGACTCATCGTCTCGTGTATCGAATGTTAAATCCAACGACGTGCATTCCCTGCACCGTTCCAGTCTTTCATCGTCGTTTTATGACGTTGGTAAGCGTAAGTGCAGACACCGGCTTCGGTTTCCTTTTCATTTTAATTGAATTATTCAGGATCGATGGTCTGCCAAAGGACTAATTCGGATGATTATTATTCGTTACTGTTCGTAGAACGATGTTATCGGAAAATGGAGACGCTTCCATAACCAGAGCTATAACATTGAAAATTAAAATCGTGTTTTTCTGAAATGATAGTACATATATCTTAATCGGTGAAACTTTTAACGTCTTAAATGTCACCGTGAAGCGGCAGATATTTATGCAAATGTATTTATTTAAGAGGAGAACAGACAGCGCGTCCATTACATATCTGACATATTCTTTGCATAGGGCAATTCATTTTTGCATATGTCGCAATTTTTATTTACATACATTACCTATGTATTACAAGATAAGATAATAACGAACGCTTGAAATTATTTAAGTTTCAACTTTTATCTGCACAATTTGAACTGATAAAAATATGATTTCATTCATATATGTATATGAATTAAGCATGAAAGTACAAGCACAGTTTGCGACCTGTTTTGCCTCTAGGATATGCGTATTAAAAGTAACCGTATTAGTTGGTAATAAATATTCGAAATGGCCACTAATGCAATCTGATTCAGATTTGTCGCGATTATGCTTGAAATCGATAACGTATAGTGCTCTGATATAAATTCTTCGAAGGTTACAAAAACGTACCAACACATTCGCGTCTGCCATCCTTGTTAACCGATGCAAAATAATACGATAAAAATTATTGTGAATCACGAACGCGAATTCGAAAAAATTCTCACGTTCGGTTCGAGAAAGTAGGATATCACAACTTTCTCGTAAGATAATTATATCAAGTATGTATATCGTACGGAACGTTGTAAATATACATTTTTAGGAACAATGTAAACTCGGAGAATGAGTAATCTGAAATTTTATCGCAACAATTTGTAATTTTATTAGGGCATAAACTTCGTACTTATTTAATCATCGGCTTGCGTATATAACGTGATATTTCACTTGGCGTGTAGTTCAACATAGTGAAACCGTGCAATCAAAAAAGCATGACCTTTTCTTAATAATACATCATTTTATAACCAACCTCACTCGAGATTACATAATGTCAAACTTGTACTATACGATATTTCTGGACGAACGTAAATTTAAGAAAACATAAAATTTTCCACTGTCAATCAGAAATCGCAAATGCGCATATTGGTAAACGCAATAACAATAACTTGTAGAAATTACACGTTTAATTTGAAAAATGTATTTAGAATGATGTATTTGCTCTTATAATAATAACGTGTCATTATTGTTTTTATCATATAGCCGAAGGTTATATGCCTTTTATGACTTCGTAAATTGCCCCACAACTAAAGTTCCGTTTGCTATAAAAAATGTGTGTCATTTGAAATTTTAACGCGATGAATATATGCAAAAGTTTCACAGTGCATTACCATATATAAATTTGAGGTCAATGTTTCGAATACTTCTTCTTTATTGTATCAACTTTCGAACGTAAAAAACAATCGTCGTGCTATTTAACGCGCTTAGACATTTCGCAGATTTTTTTTTTTTTTTTTTTTTTTTGAATGTGAGAATATATAAAAGCAGAAGGGCAAAAGTGTAATGCTCAAGCGTAATGCTTAATAAGTAAAAGCAACTTTCTGGCCTGGATTTCGTTTTATAATTGCATCGATGAAACTATATGAATTTGCCTAAACATTCGGGCTCGAGCCATCGTTTATAAAGAAGTCTCTTAAATTTCTCTTACGCGTTAAAGAAATCTAAGAGATTTATAAGATAATACGTCGACCTTTTTTATTGCACAAGAATAGCTCTAGCTATTTGTAGCCTACTAGCAACCAGGAAAGATTATTTTCTCCCAATAATTGTGTTTAAATGTATGGATCGTTATACGTGCCCAAAATCTTTCAAGACATTTTTATTGGTTAAACCTTGAAACCTTCTTCTGTAATTTAACGCGCTTAGACATTTCGCTTTTTTTTTTTTTTTTTTTTTTTTTCGAATGTGAGAATATATAAAAGCAGAAGGGCAAAAGTGTAATGCTCAAGCGTAATGCTTAATAAGTAAAAGCAACTTTCTGGCCTGGATTTCGTTTTATAATTGCATCGATGAAACTATATGAATTTGCCTAAACATTCGGGCTCGAGCCATCGTTTATAAAGAAGTCTCTTAAATTTCTCTTACGCGTTAAAGAAATCTAAGAGATTTATAAGATAATACGTCGACCTTTTTTATTGCACAAGAATAGCTCTAGCTATTTGTAGCCTACTAGCAACCAGGAAAGATTATTTTCTCCCAATAATTGTGTTTAAATGTATGGATCGTTATACGTGCCCAAAATCTTTCAAGACATTTTTATTGGTTAAACCTTGAAACCTTCTTCTGTATCGTCGCGTTGGATGTGCTCGTGCATCGATAATTTTACAAGTTCGTGCTTCACACGATCCATCGTACGCGGGCTCGAGCAATGGCCGTGATAATAGAAGCTGTTACAGTAGAATTCGTTCAGGGTCGATGAAAAAAAAAATGTGCTTACACGCTTACAGTCACGCTCCGCTGTATTCGACATTTTCTACACGCGACGTGACTATTTGTTGCGGAGATTCGCCTCGAGACTATACTTTACTAGAATTGTTTCGTCCAAGAGTTCTGTCTGTCACATAATACGTACAAGTTACCGGTGACTGCGTATTACGAAAGAACGTGTCGCACATTTAGAAGCACCAGGCGAATGCTTTGTTACAGCTCGAGAAATTTAATAAGTTGGAGAAAGAAATTGAATAATAGGTTGATAAAAACGTGTATGAGAATACGACGATAAATTATTGGGAATTATCATCGATATAAAAATATCGTGACTCTAGCAATTGAACCTTCTTCGAAAAGTTATGTTTCCAAAGTGTAGTTGGGAAAAATCGAGGAGAACGATCTTGCACAATCGAACGCTCTATGGCTGGATTTTTTGCAAGTGCATCGATTAGACGATAATGCGCTAACAACATTTGTTACTTAGTACTGAACGAGGCTAATACGATGGATGAATTTTTCTGACACGTAACCATATTATTAATCATCGATAACTCAAGCCGGTATCTTTATGGTATTTAGTGCTCCTTTCACTTTACTTCTTCAAACGAGGTATACCTATAGAAGTACAAAGTACATTTACGCACGATTCAAGTTTCTAATTCACGTAAGATTTGATAACGCTTTGACATTCTAGTAGGAAGAAATTGCGAAATATCCTTTCCAAAAAAATTCATTAGAATTAGAAATTACATTTACAACGTCTGTCAGAGTGGTCAATAAATGAATAATTTGCAGCAAAAAGATACGTCATGTAATGACGTTTAGACGTAGATCGATGTTAAGCTTCGTCTATCGTATACCGATGTTTCGTTTTTTTAATCAGTTGCATAACGACCAATACAATGAACGTACAGCAAGAAGATAATTTTGTATTTTCTTTATTCTATTTTTCATTTTATTTACGAATTATATTTACGAATAATTACCAATTTAGTCTTTATTCGCACGAACATAATGTCAATCGTCTGTAATACTTAACGAGTTCTATATCCACCGACGATAGTCTTGTATCCTCTACATAATGAATGAAGCGCTCATAATGAATTATGTAAAAGAACCATGTTTTTCATAATTTATCAGAGTATCTTCGTACGTCAAGACCAGTCGGCTAACTTTTTGTCCGTTGCATTTTAATGACTAGATCATATGCGTCAACCGTTCGTACAACAATTACATTTTTATTATTTTTATACGATGTAACCTATGATATGAAAATATTCCAGAATGATTTCTTTAACGATTTTACGCCTTGATCGTCCACGAATTACTGCTCTCGTTCAAACATCTACCAGCCTACCAAGTTACTGTAAGTCGATTACTCTCTGTTCCGCTGGGAAAAAAGTTGTGTCTACATTTTTATTGTCATCGAAACGCGTATCACGCGCGGCAGAAAAAAAGTAACGATCATAAAGTAAACGCCTACGACCAGTTTTCGTAACATTACGTAATTAAAACGGTATTTTCGCTCGGACTGGCGCATACATAGCTCATTGCCGGTAAATAGTCGCAAGTCGAATCACGGTCATCAAACGCCCACGTGTCGCGAATACCCATGCAAGAATTCACTCGACATTGTGAAAGTAATCGTACGTCCTGTTTTTGGTTCACAGCCAGAAGAGGCCGCAGCAGCAACAACAATACCAGCAGCAACCACAGCATCATCAGCATCAGCACCAACACCACAATCATCAGCAACAGAATCAGAATCAACAGCAACGTCAGAGTCAACATCAACACCACAATCACCAGCACCAGCAACAACATCAGCACCAGCACCAACATCAACACCCCTCCTGGCATAGGACTACTTTAGCGTCCTGACCACTGTGACCTTGACCCTGACCGCAAGTCGAATAGTCCTAGTAGAAGAAAAGAGAGGAATCTTCTCGCTAGCGAAGAAACGCATCCGCGAGATCCTTTTACCGGTTCTCGAAAATCGAGCCAGAGAAGAAAAAGAAGATCCATCAAACCCACACGGAAATACAGGAAGAACGTTCCACGTGGCCGATCGGCGTTCCTACAGACGTTGAACATCCTCGTCAACCTATTCACCGTGATACTTCTCTTCAAAGACCTTCGCTTTGATCATCATTGCTGCACAGATTTCCCTTGTATCGCGTCAGAGAGCCGCTGCACTCATCGTGATTTCCTCTCCATAGAGAGCCTTTCTCTATCTCTCCCTCTCTGTCGTGAGTCCGTTTGTAGAGACCTTTTGCTTGTGTGATCGTTTTCGTGGTGTTTCCGATTCTTTCTGCCGAAACACCCTCCTTCTTTCATTTGACGATAGAAATGCAATGCTTGTTTCGGATTCACTTCGACCGGTATATCCCTATGGTAGTTGTTAATTGTGTTGGTCGTGTCAAATCGTGTCGATAGAATTTCGTTTCGTAGAGAATTTTTCCGTTCGTTGCGAAGATTCGTCGCTTCGTCGACCGATCGTAGGCGACGGGAAATATTTGTTCTACGATCTGCACGCAATAATCAACGATTCTTCTGTTATTTATAGAACGTTCGTTCTTGTTAATATTTGAAAATACAGTTTCGTTGATCGACGTGCGAAGGAGGGAGTAACAGCTGCTAAACGCACGAAACGCGGTAGAAAATACAAGTTCTCTCGTCAATCGTACTTCTTTTAAGTTCATCGTACTTCAGACGAACGAGTACGTAGTAACTAACCAGAGCGACAGTGCAATACGCGAACGCCGTGACGAGACGAAAGTTTTCATATCGTAGATACCTTCAAATTTGTTTCATTAATTCTTAAGAGAGAAATTCGCTTGTTACAAACTGTCACGCACCTGACATGCGAAAGATCGTTCTTTGTGATTCCCTTTTACGAAAGATGGATAACGCTTTTCGATTCGCAGTATCGGATTGGGCTCGAAGGCTCGATTTCTGTCCTCGTGAAATAGTAAAACGGTTGTATGACTCGTTCGTTCCTTTAGAAGAAATAGATCGATCCATTGTAGCGAATAGCAAAAGATATTTAACCGCTAAGCGATAGGATATTAAAATTCGAATAGAAATACGAGCGTGAATACCGGGAACAGAATGTAAATAAAATTCGCGTGTTTATCGTGATGTGTAAGGAATAAGTGCAATGTATCATAAATGAATGTAATTTCGTAGAATTCTGATGGAACTGTACGATACGTATCTATAGGCAAAGCTGTATAAAGATACGCGTTGTCTTTAAAACACAGTGAGTTCGTTGTCTCGTTTCGAATAATTTCACGTTCATTCGCATAACCCTTTTACTCCTGCGATCTAAATGTTACGGCTACGTTCGAACATCGTTTGATTTAAATTCTCATTTGACTTATTAATCGCCTAATTAGTCAACGAGTCAGTGACAATGACAATTGGTTATTGTTTTAACATTTTAATCGGTTAATCTCCCCGTGAGAAACATCGTTACATAGCCAGAATTATATCTTGTCGTCGAAAGCAACGTAACGATTACGTAATCTACGCGAAAATCGTCTTTCACCCTCTATAATTAATCGGAAATTTACGATCTATAATACGTATGTATATTGGCAGAAAAATTATAGTGCCCCGTCTTGAACCGAGAATTCGGTATTAATAATAAACAATGAATCAATTATTTGACGGCGGTGCAATGAGAACGACGATATAATACGATGTCTCGACGAGTAAATAAAATAGGACGCTAAATATATAGATACCTATGTACGTATATGTATATAGCTGTATGTAACTTGAATATCATACGACGTTATAGAGGGTTACCGAACTGTATCCGGTGGATCGTTTCGCCCGAAATTAAGTTCTGCGTTTCGTTTCGCTGTTTCTCACCGATTCGACGGTTGATTTTGATATTGTTGTTACTCGACCATTGTTGTAATTATTTCGTACTATAAATGACTATTTTGTCGAGCAAAGTAGTAGGCGATAATACATAAGATATGCATAAGCGACGAAACGTGCAATAGTTTTTAATTCGATCATTTCGCATGGATCGTCACGGCGATCGTGAACTCTTCTCACGATCCTATCAACGGAGACACTAACACGATACGAACGAACGTTTTCATCCTGTATCTAAGTCGAATTTACATGCAACAAGTAAAACATGTTGATCTTGCCGCTAGCATTTATGCAAATTAATGAGAGGCATTAATATGCCGCATAGATAATCTTGGCTATGCAAACAGGAATATTACGAAAGAATTTGAGCGAAGAATCGATCGAGAAATATTGATTCGTGCAGCATGCATATTTATTTAAAACGCGAAGATAACGGATGATGAAGGGGATCATTTGGAAAGTATCGGTCTTAAAAATCAATAAAGCCAGTGCTTTCGTATCGCTGGCCACGAAGAACTTAATATAGCTACAACTAATTAGGTCAAATCAATTTTTTATAGCCTACATCCGTTAAGGTTTAAATTGTCCCGTGAACTAGTTCGTTGGAATATTCTTGATAACAATTTATTTACGCATAAATTAAATACCGTTAAAGTGGAAGATGAAAAGACGAAGGATAATGAATATCGATCGAGTAAACGCAAACATGAGACATTGTTAGTCATAGAAATCTGTGTGACCAATTAACGACAGAATATGATTATTCTTTAAGGGACCGATAATTATAATCCTATTTACTATTTCTTGATCACAAAATATATTTAGAAATCGATGATAGATTAACATTGAAATTTATGAGATACAAATTGCGAATAGAAACGAATTGAATCCGACCATGATAGAAGTAAAAAGAAAAAGACATTATTCATTACCTACATTACATTAAAAGGAGATACAATCTTGCATCGTATTAACGAACTAAACGCGGAAACATATCTTAACTAATTGTCATTTAATAAATATGTATCCGACGCTTTCCTATTTTTAGCGTTAAAAGTTTCAAGTTAAAGCATTATAGTAAATCTTCTACGAATATCTTGCGTTCCTGCAAGCAAATCGTTTTTTCGTATAGATTGCAAGTACCTGTAATTATCGACTACGTTGTTATCTCAAAGTATAATCACATTTTGCTCGAAAGAATTAACGTTCGTACATGTATATGCTTTGTTTGTTTTACTTCTGTGTGTAAACTCGACTCCAACAAACAAGACATTAAGCCGTTTAACACGTTATTTACAATCACGACTAGGTATCAAAAAATTATAAGGAAAAGGAAAGAAATGACTAAGTATGCGCGTCTGAAACGACGGAAACAGGTGCTATTCGATAGATAAAAAGGAAAACGATAATATATTTCGGTGAACAGAAAGCACGAAAGAAGCGTATATAGGTAGATGATTTAGGTAGAGAAAATATTTTACATAACGTACACATAGGGCACGCAGATGTATCGTGTAATAAAATATCCGCGATTCGGTGTACCTATGCATGCACGAAAAACGACCCCTTAAATATTTCTCGGTATTTGTCGACGCTTTGCGATCTATAATCCAATAGAATATACGATATATTTTCTGATTATACCTCAGAGAGTAGCCATAAAATGGTTGGTAATAATTTACCTCGCTGGTAGTCGGATGAAATATTAACTAAGCAAACTTTGGCATAACAGTACCTGCGAATTTGTTACTTTATTTACGATATTTCAGATAAAATGCTAACCGGGCAAATTGTGGCGCGTTCAACGACGATTCCCTGCGATATTATAAAGCATAATGCGTACACGACTATACTTCAACAAAATTATCTAATTACTGTACCGAATCAAATTGATCTCTTATACGGAGGACGAATATCAAAATTAGGATTATAATTTGTAATTTAAGCTATCGTAATGTACGGTATAGCCAGCGAGTATATGTCTATAGTAAAAATCGATTGCCACTACGTCAATTCTACTTTGCCTTGAACCTGACAAGGTATATTCGCTATAATGAGATTATTCAAATCCGTTTAAACAGAAATTATACAACATTCGTTTTGTGTTGAACTTTCAAACGTTCTACATTTGTAACGCTGTGTTAATATTTCGTCTGAACACGTAAGAAATTATTTCGTATCCGTTTCGCAAATAATGATAACGTTAATTAGAAATGAGAAATGAAGAAACAAATCAAACGCGCGAATGATATATCGTTGAACCGTTAGAGTCCGCGAGAGAGTTCGCAAATATCAAAACGGCAAACACCGAGAATGTCGATCGTTGTCAAAAAAAATTCGAATAACTCTGCTGCGACTGGAATAACAAGAGGAAAAGCCGACATTTCCACGGGACAAGGTTTCATAAACGGAATTGTATACTATTAATGAGCGTATCCAAAATAGATGATGCATTCGATGTCCGATTATTACATGTTCCCGATCTGCAGTTAACAGGTTGCCGTACATCATTCTGTTTTGTTAATCTTACTTTACACGATTTATGGATGATGAAAATGTGCTATATCACGCAAAGTCAAACGAGCGTGTTAAATAATTCAATATGTTATACGTATGTTAGATTCTTAACGAGTTTGCAAAGAACATACTCGATAAAATGTGCAATACATAGTTGTTTCTTCGCGGAAGCATCGAAACGATTCGATTACCCAGTAATGTAACGTATATTTAACGAATATCATTCGACAGATTTACGAATATTTTTTTATTTATTTACGTACAACTTAGTTTCGGCGAATGAAAATTAGTTTAATCTTTAGAGAATGGTTAATCGATTCTATCCGAGTTCAGATAAAATCTAATAGATATTTTATTGTAGGAAGAAAATAAAATGGAAAATAATTTCATTTCTAAGGAACCTATCGACGTTTGTACTTTTTAGTTGAAAAATATTTTGCTCTTAGCTTTCGTAAAAGTATCTTTTCCAGTGGAAATTAAAAACTCTCGAAAATCGAAAACTTCTTAAACTATACGTGGAAGATCTTTATTCCTTGTCATGTAAAACTATCTTGAATATTTTTATTCAAACTATTAGAATTAGAGTGCGGTGATTT